AAACAAATGCATCCGCATGAAGTTTGCTTCGTTCGAGTTATTTGAAATATGTATGTGGTGTCAAATAGACCGCCACACACAATAACACAATGCAGGAAAACTTAATATAAAATATTAATTCAAGTTACTAAATCTTTTCTACACTAGAAAAATTATATACCAGATCGATTTTTCAATTTTATCCAATATAAAAAGAAACCTCCATTTTGTATTTCAACACTGTTTGATCCATTTAGCACTGCTTTAAAACTTTGTTATATGTTATTATCTAAATGCCTTTCAAAAAATTGTAAATATGTTTGGTATTCCATTTGATCGTTATTCAAAATATTTGTGGCATTGCTTTCTTGTTCGCCTTGTATATTTTTTTCCAAAATATTGTAATTTACTGCATCAATCGATGATAGTCGGGTAAATGGCCATAGTTTTTTAAAATGCAAAAAACATACATTTATTTTTGTTACTTTTTAACAATATTTGGGATATTACTTTCGGGAGGGCTCCAATTGCACACATCGCATATTGCACACATATATCACTGATTGGCCAATTTAAAAATAAAATAATCTCATTGGCAAAACAGTGAAAAATTACTAGGCACCAGTTGATATGAGTGGTGTGTACAATCAGAACTGTAGGCAAACAGGATCCTTCCGTTACTTTCACTGAAGCTTAAAGTAACAAATACTATCGAAATTAAAGAGAAAATACTTAACAGAACTTTAATTTTATCAAAATATTACAAAGTATGCATTGGCCATCTTATCTGATTTTTAGGGAAAAGATGGCCATGTGTGTGATATTAAGAAATATAGCCATAATATTTATAAATAAATAGTGAAAATAAAAGTATTAATTATAGATCACTTTGCAATTTACGTACTTTTATTGTGTATGTAATGTTGATTATGGCAGCTTAACTGTAATTTATTACACATTATAACATTTTTTAGCAGACACGTGCAAAACTTTGCAGATAGTCGAAAGAAAAAATACTACATAATATTTATAATACCGTTATTTTGAATAGTGTACTCATATGAACTACCGTAAATATTGATTATCTTTAAGAATGACTATAAAAATGCACTATTTATCAATTATTGGAGAAATTATGGCCTATGGCCATCTTTTCCGTATGGTCATAATACCCTAGTTTACCCTAAACCACAAGCTTTAATATTTTTTATGGTTTCTGTTAAATTAATAGAATCTAGTGCTGTTTCTAATAAAGGAGCAAATTTTTCTCTTCTGAAACGTTTACCTCCATTTTCGAATCACCAGTTATTAATCGCTTTCTTCCAAGCATTTTTAAGTGAATAAAATACAGCAACGTCTAGTAGTTGTAAAATATGAGTAGCATTAGGATATAATGCAATTAATTCGATTTTTACTTCCCGACAAAATTCAATCACTGGCAACGTCAAATGGGATGAATGTCCATTGACATATAAAATGACTGGAAATTTAATATTATTTTTTACAAGCCATGGATGAAAACAATTTAAAATATACTCATAAAACGATTCCGCAATCATCCATCCTTTCTCTGATAATCCAATATGTCAGTCTTTTGGAAAAACACTGGATACACTGTATGATACTCGTTTGTACCAATACATTATCATGGGTGGAACCATAGATCCTACTGCATTTACTATGAATAGTGTAATAAGGCTTTCTTTCTCATCTGCATTGACTATCTTGTACACAGATTTAGATCCTTTTCTAACGATAGCCTGGTCTGGTTTTGGACACAAAAGGAATGCGCTGTCATCACAATTGAACATTTTAGAAGGATGAATGTTCAATAAATTAAATGTGGATGGACTTCGTTGAACCAATTACGTATTTCTTTCTCTGTTACTGAAGCACGAGTATGTGTTAAATTTTGAGCAACTCTTGATACTAGTTGAGGATGACGACGAAGAAATCCTTCGTGCTAGATCTATCATTAGTAAAAGGTGTTTTTCTGTCTAGTTTAATAACATATTGTCGAACACTATCCAATAATTGAGTTTTTGTTATTGGAAATCCACGTTCAGCAAGAAAAAAGATCCATTCAACTAATCGGCTTTCTTCCTCATTTGTTCCAAATTCGACAATAGCGACATCTTTCATTCATTTCTTATACTTATTATATATCGTTGTGTCTCGCTCAAACGCATTCATCTGTGCTTATCTAACATATTGCAACGCCATCTTTTAGAAAGAGATCAACTAAAATACTGCTTGGTTTCATGGCTAAACAATCTAAACTATCGTACATACACACATCGTCGATTTCTCACGCGCTAGACATACAATTTCGTAGAATGCAATTATCCTTTTATTTAGGCGTCAAAACTCAATTCTAAAGATATGACTGTATTCGTCTTTTTTTCTACATATGTCCCTGCCCTAATTTCGAGCATATAACGTGCATATAATTTTTTCACGAAGTAAATGTTTGGTGAGCTGATAGCACATGGGTACAGAAATCTGTAATTTATTATTTTTCTCAGCTTTGGACACAAAACACACCAGGAGCAGGTACATTAGCACGGATATTTAAATCGTGGAGAAGGAATTCTCTGCAACTAATTCGTAGAATATTGCATTTAATATAAACGCTTGCTTTATCGGTAAAAAAGAAGACTCCAGCATCCCCTTAAGAAGTAAACTGCGTGCCTTAGCTAGATCACTAAGAAACCGCTGAGAGTATGAATAAAAGTAGACGGCCACTATAAAAATATTTTTTTCTTATAAATCTTTTTTTCTTCAAATCTTTGTTTCTTAAATAAATATTAAAAAATGTAAATTTTATATATTAATATATTTTGTAATTACTTATGTATAGAGAGCTTAATAATTATAAATATTTATTGCATTGTTCATACATTAGGACGCGTGCAACCATTGGGACATTTACCTTATGCACATGGCACGAATTCTTTATTTCCCCAAAAATAGCCAAAAAAAGGCCAAAAATAGAAGCAAAAGCTATTAATCTTTCTTCTCAACTAGTATCCACAGTATTTTACAATTTTTGCAGTATTCTGTTTACCATTAATTAAACCAGATTTGCGAAAACATTTTATTTTTTACTACGTTTCTCAGTTCGTTTCCGTCGCACAAAATTCGTTTCTTAATTATCTACTTATTCTACTTGCTCGCGTACACGTACAAGAGACCGTGATCTAAGCGAAACTTTACGAAAAGAACTAGTTCAGAACAGAATGTTCGGAAATCATAGAGATTTCTAATTGTTCTACCCGTCATGATTGTCCCACTTCCGCTTTTTTTTTAATTTTGTATTAAGTTATAAGCATTTCAAAAGTTTCCGTTACGAGTTCGTTTGCTATTCACCCTTCTGTCCGTCACAGTGTGAGAAAAACACTCCGGAAAAGGGCGGCACCTGCAATGCAAGTATCTACCGATGTAACGGGTGTCCTGATAATTCCGCATGTATTTGAATAGTTAAAAAAGAGTGATTGATGTTCGTACTAGTAATTGCTTTTGCTTCTGATTAAAAAAAGACTACAAAGTTCAAATTATATCATAAGAAGAAATGCAATAATTAATTTTCATTATGCATAGTGTATAAAACCACTTAGAAAACAAGTCAATCTTTCTAGTAATTCTTTTGTGAAGCCTGAGGAAATTTCTACGAGGAAACGTAATGATAAAAGTGGTGTGTTACTTAATATTAGTATATAATTTATATATACAACATGATTAAGTAGTGCACGTTGACCAATGAATTTTTATCACGTTTTATGAAAATTATACGTGCAAATAAAGTTAACTTTTAATTAGATTTCGTTCTTTTAATATAAGTTAACAACATTATAGTAGAATTTCAATAAAATCGGAGGATTTGACGAGTAGAAATTAGTAGAAATCAAACATCATAAAAATATCCGAATTGATATTAATAAACATTAGAATTTGTCTTCTTTACTTTGCTTTAAATTGAGTAATTATTTACATTTTAAATTTCTTTTAAAATATTGCGCAGCTCTTTAAATTCGTATTTGT